TTAGGGCCCAAAATCTTTTTGAAATATTTTAGGCTAAGAAATTTTTATTTTTGTTTTTTGGTAAGAAAATGCCCACTTTTTCTAATTTGAGTAGGGCCGACCCTGGGTGTAGGGATCACTGAGTCACTCTGCTAAGCCCATTTAGTTGAACTGGTTGCTATATAAGTCAACTGAATCTTAGCTAGTTTGTCAATTATTTTTGCTTCGCTAGGTTGTTTACTGAATTATTACTATATTTCTTGAAGCAAAAAATAAAATTTACAATCGAACCAGAACCAATTTGAAAAAAAAAATCCGAACTTGAACCAATGTTTATAAAATATCAACAAATCATAAAACTTTAATTTTATATTCAATCTCAGGCAACCGCATAGGTCACAATCTAATTTAATTTTAAATATAAGTTACCAATGATAAAGGAATGAATGGGAATAGTGAGTGAGTTCCTTATTACTTCTTATAATTTACAACATTTACAAAAAAATATTTATTACCCATGATTCCTTAACATTCTTTAAAATTAAAGAATAAAAATTTACAATTATTCTTTATGAAATTAGAAGAGAAATAGATCTTCTTTTTATTTTTCCTTTTTATTCATTTCCTTCTTATTCCTCATATTACTTTAATAGTCACCATTTGGAACCATTTGTCTCCCTCCCATAACAAGAACAGAGTGCCACAAATCAATGTGCATGAAACCGAACCAAGGACTTCTACCTGTCTTTTTCCTTTTAAGATATTTTAACTCGTAGTTTATTTTAGGGTTTTTAGTGATTAAAACCTCCAACTATTTTTAAATCGGATAAAAAACCTCCAACTAAAATTTTATGTTTTTAAACCTTCAACTATTAAACCGTTAATGTCGTTAACCTTCCGTTATCAAAATCATTTTTTCTTAACGGAGACCCGTTAAATCGATACACCGCGTTTCATGTAATTTCAAAAACGACATAAGGTTCTTATCATCAATATATATTTCAGTGATTTAAACCTCCGACTATTTTTAAATCGGATAGAAAACCCCCAACATAAAATTTTATATTTTTAAACCCTCAACTATTAAATCTTTAATGCTTTTAATACTCTGTAAATAAAGTCATATTTTCTGAATGAGAAACCGTTAAATTGAAACATAGAATTTCATGTAATCATATAAACGACATGAAATGTTTAAACCCCCTATATCAATGGGCAACGACAATCACAATTCATCCTCAAATAAAATAAATTAAAGTTCTTTTTCCTCTTCTTCAAATGTGAGGTAAGTCAAAAAATTGTATTGTTTCTAATTTTAGGCTATGATTGTATGGCACTTCTAACGATATATTTTAAGTGTAAAACATATTTACTTTGAGTCCAGCTAATATTTAGCCAATCAGGTGAAAAAGTTCAACTTGCCTTTTCGCTAGTTACTGTTGAAACATAGTAAATTGTTTCCTTTTTATCTCTTGGTTTATGCCGATAATTATTTGTTGCGCTTAGAGATGGCAATTGGGCTTTCCCGTCCCGTTCCGTCCTGTACCGCAGCGGGTTCATCGTCGAGCGGGTCACGGCAGGCTTGTTCCGCGCGGGCTGCGGTCTTCCGAATGGCTACCCAATCCCGTACCGCATAATTTATAAGCCTTTGCGGGCCGTCCCGCGGGACGTCTCCTTCAGCTTCCTTCATAAATGTTAAAGTAGAAGAGTTAAGTAAAGAAGTTGAAGAGAGCTGAACTACATCGATCGCAACAAAATGTGATCACTCGCTGGTTTAATGGTCTTGAAGTAAGTGAGAGCCATTTGGACAGTAAAATTTAACTCTTTCAATAATATTCCTTGTTTGATTCTTTGTAAAGCAACGTCTTCATAGCCACAATAACTTAATACTAATGGTTTCTTCTTCTCTTTTAACCAAGCTGTTGAACTTAGAGTGTAAAGACAAGATTCTACAGTAACCCAAACTCTCATTTCGAGCCGTTTAAAGAACAAACAATAGCTCTTCAACAAGCAGTAACTCATTAACAACATCATTGTAACAATTTTTTTTTTTTAAAACACCACTTGACAATACTGAAAACAAAAATCATCAACTTAAACAAGAAAATTCCACATAGTAATAAGGCAATTTATAGTACTGAAAAAAAGACCAAACAGAAATGGGGACTTATGGTTGCGGGTCTTCAAAATCCTATGGGTTAACCTGTCCCGCATACGGCCCATCTCGTTTTGAGCCCGTCCCGCGTTCGCCCCGTATCATTTTGAGACTGTCCCGCGAGGCCCGCAATTTTGCGGGCTTATCAAATGAAGGTCCAATCCCGCCCCGCAGCAAGCCTTTACAGGCCAGGCCCGCGGTCCAGGTCTTTGATTGCTATCCCTAGTTGTGCTGGCTTTTGTATTGCTTTCCACTTTTTATTTTCTTCTGTCTTTCACCTATTTATTTTACTCTATTTTACCTTAATGTTCCATCGATCATTGCTCAAACATTCTGAGATTGACGCTCAAAGAGCCATCATCTCGAGGAGCGTATTAGTGACGAAGGTCTCACATCGGTTGTTGTAAGAGATTATAAGCAATATATAAGATAGATGGGCCACTCCACTTATTACCAATTGGTTTTAGGTCGGAAGCCCATTTACCTTAACATGGTATCACATCCCATGATCCACAAAGTACAACTCATCCTTATCAATCCATCCCAAATTCGGCCCATCGATATTTACCCGAACATTCCGAAATTGACGCCAAAGAGCCATCATCTCGAGGAGGCGTATTAGGGATAAATGTCTCACATTGGAAGTTGCAAGGGATTCTATCTAGTATATAAGATAGATGGGCCACTCCACTTATCATCAATGGGTTTTTGGTTGGAAGCCCATCTTTTTAATTTGAGGATGAATTGTGATTATCATTGCTCATTGATATAAGGGGGTTTAAACATTTCATGTCGTTTATATGATTACATTAAACTTTGTGTTTCAATTTAACGGTTTCCCGTTCAGAAAATATGACTTTGTTTACAGAGGGTTAAAAATATTAAAGATTTAATAGTTGAGGGTTTAAAAATATAAAATTTTTGTAGGGGTTTTCTATCCGATTTAAAAATAGTTGGAGGTTTAAATCACTTAAATATATATTGATGATAAGGATCTCTTGGCGTTTTTGAAATTATATCAAACGCGGTGTTTCAATTTAACTGATTTTCGTTAAGAAAAAAACGATTTTGATAACGGAAGGTTAACGACATTAACGGTTTAATTTTTGGAGGTTTAAAAACATAAATTTTAGTTGGAGGTTTTTTATCCGATTTAAAAATAGTTGGAGGTTTAAATCACTAAAAACCCTTTATTTTATCCCTTAAATAGAAAAAAGATATTAGATTTCACCTGCGCTTTAAAACCGCAGAAATATTTTACAATTCTGATAAATTGATTTAATTTATAGCATGTATTAGAAAGTAAACAATTGAAAAATTGTTTTATTAGTATTTCAAAAAAAAAAATTGTTCTATTACAATTTATAAGGTTTGATTTTTAAGTAGTGTAGTTATATCAAACCTCAACCCATGGTTAAATCGATAGATCTGACAACCTTTGTTAACTAATAATCCGATAAAATCCAATAAAAATCTAAAACAATCCGCTATTAATCTATGATCCAATATCTGATGATCAGTTAAAAAAATCTAAAAATCTGTCTATAGTTCAAAAATTTTGATTAAATAACTCATACATTTAAATATAATATAAAATTAAAAAACTTGTAATTCCTAAGAATTTGATGAAAATTTTATTTTATCATTCAAAGAAATTGAAAAATGGTAATAGAAAAAAATTATTAATATGATAATATTAGTTTCTTTTCGTTATTAATAACCTATGATAAATTTTCATTTTAGATCTAATATTTAATCCTATCATAAGTTTTAAAGTATTTTGAATACTCAAATCTGGAATATAAATATTATGTACAAATGACACAGTAAATAATATTTTAAAATAATTTCATGTATATATTCATATCCTTACGTTAAATAATATTATGCGCACGAAAAAATGATATTCAAATTAAATAGAGAGTATAATTTGCAGAGAAAATAGACTTATTATCTTTCATAAAATATAGAAAGTATTACTTAGCATAAATATAGAGAATATTCTATTTGTAGCTTAAATAAACAATAATTCTACTAGAATTAAATGTTAATGATATTACTTTGTAAATAACTCAAAAATTAATGGCATAGATAAGTGGTGTTACAAAAAAAAATATATATTTATTAAAGATATATTCTTGGGTTCATCCTCTAGGATGAACTTCTAAGTTCACCAACCAATAGGATGATGTTATTTCATATTTGATATTTTTAAAAAAATAAACAAACTCTTGTTAAGTTATATTATGTTTTTAAAATAAAAACATAAAAATGAATAAAATAATACAATTTACAAAAAACGAAAACAATATTTTTAAAAAATATTTTAAGATTATATTATGTTTTAAAAATAAAAAGATAAAATTAACATAAACAGTAATAATTGCAAAAAACAATTTTTTTAAAGAAAAATATTTAATATATCTTTAAAATGAAAACAAAATTATATTATATTATGTTTTTAAAATAAAAATATAAAAATAAATTAAAAAGTATAAGTGGTTAATATTAATTTTATTGATTTAATGTTTAAGATTATTCTAAACGGTTTATGATTTACCCAAGGGTTTAGGGTTTTGGATTAGGATTTAGGGTTTAGTGTTTTAGTGTTAAAATATATATATTTTTTTAATTTTCGTTTTTTGTAAATAACATTTTTTTTATTTATTTTTTGTATTTTTATTTTTAAAATATAATATAATTTAATAAGTTTTATTTCCTTTTTAAAAAGATATTATGAAATACATCCCATCCTATTGATTGTTGGATCTAATAACTCTTTATAAAAAGATAGAAAACTCGATGGAAAATTCTAGGTGTTTTTTGTTCCTGTCTCGGCATAGTCTTTGTTGTTACAGATCTAGCGATGGAAAGATCCGATTCCCCTTCACCAAAGCGTCAGAAGATGGAGGAAACAACGTGCCATAATGGCCGTCCGGAGGATTTTGATTCCGACGAGTGCACTGAGGAAGAGATGCAACTGTTCGACCAAGAGTTGGATAAAATAGGAGGGGTTGGTGATTTCGAATTTTTTGCTTTTTTGTTTTGGTGAATTCGGTTTTAGTTTCTCTTTTTTTTTTTTTTTTGTAGAAGTTGACTTGTGGGTGATGTGATTTGTAGGGTTATGAAATCGACTTCAAGAAATTTCGTTATTGTTTTGGTTGGAAACCACTGGATCTGGATGATAGTAACATGGTTGATGAGCCTGAAACTAACAGAGATTTTATCGCTATGTTGGCAAACCTGGCTCTCACCAAGTACAACGCAGAAAAAGTTAGGATTTGTAACTTTTGTGTGTTTTATCTCCTCTGATTAACAACATGGTATTTGTTTGCTTTGTTTTATTGTGTGGTAGGGAACAAGCTTTGAACTGGGAAAGATTTTGATTGCTAACTTTCATCTATCTTGTGGATTCACTTTCTACATCTCATTCCAAGTCAATGATCCTTCTGAAGAAGTTGGTAATCAGACAAAACCCTACCGAGCAGTGGTTCGCTACTTTCCCGGAGACATTGAAGTAATCTCTTGCAATCCCAAAGATTCATGAATGCTTTTGGAGCAATCCACCCGCTTTTTTCTGATATCATCACACATCTATTCTTTCGGGCTGGCGATCTATTTCCCCACCGTAACTATGTCGTCGCATTATTTCCCCACCATACTATTGCCTCGTTTCATTTCCCCACCAAACGAAAGTTAAATATCTATATACCCACCAAACCAAAGTTAAATATCTATGTCCCCACCCGGCTAAAGTTTAAGACTCAAATCCACATAGAGCCATGATTAGTTGGTTAATTAGTTTGGTTAAGATGGGTTAGTAATACCGAATCTCGACTTAACCGAAGTAAACTAATTTTCGACATTTAACCAACCTAATCTATCTAAACCCAGAAAATCCCCAAATTAAAAATCCAAGAACCCTAGAAAGTAAAATAGAGAGAGTGAGAGAGAAAACCCGAGAGAAAACAACACGAAATCGATTGAATTCGTGTTTACCATGTCTGTAGTACCTATAATCGGCGAAGGAGGCTTCGAAATTGATGATGAAGCAGTTGAACGAGAAGAGTTTGAACTCGAAGAATTGTTGCAAAATTTTTCGAGTGAGCCGCCAATTCAACACGACGTCTTGCCTGAGAGTGTTTCCATTATTGGAACACCACAATGGCAAGACGTCGTGGGGCTTCTGGATCTTCTTCCTCCTTTTCTTCATCGCTCTCAGGCAAGACGTCGTGTTGAATTGGCGGCTCACTCGAAAAATTTTGCAACAATTCTTCGAGTTCAAACTCTTCTCGTTCAACTGCTTCATCATCAATTTCGAAGCCTCCTTCGCCGATTATAGGTACTACAGACATGGTAAACACGAATTCAATCGATTTCGTGTTGTTTTCTCTCGGGATTTCTCTCTCACTCTCTCTATTTTACTTTCTAGGGTTCTTGGATTTTTAATTTGGGGATTTTCTGGGTTTAGATAGATTAGGTTGGTTAAATGTCGAAAATTAGTTTAGTTCGGTTAAGTCGAGATTCGGTATTACTAACCCGTCTTAACCAAACTAATTAACCAACTAATCATGGCTCTATGTGGATTTGAGTCTTAAACTTTAGCCGGGTGGGGACATAGATATTTAACTTTGGTTTGGTGGGTATATAGATATTTAACTTTCGTTTGGTGGGGAAATGAAACGAGGCAATAGTATGGTGGGGAAATAATGCGACGACATAGTTACGGTGAGGAAATAGATCGCCAGCCCTATTCTTTCCTATGTATCATCTATCTAGCTATGAGAAAATGCTTTTGATCAACTTCATTCAGGAATATTGTTTCTTTCTCCACTTGCTTACTTTTGTCAACGCAGTTGGAGATCCAAACAAAAACCAAGCCCGCAAAGTGAAGCACCTGAATGATGATGTTCTTAGAAACTAGTATTACTCTATCTAGCAATGGGATTAACTAATAACCATCCACACATTCAAAATCATAAACTAGAACTAAATGCTATTATGTTAGTTGCTGTGTAAAGCATTCACTACAAGAAAAAGATGTGATCTCCGACAACCATATTAAACGGAACTTTGTCGGAAACGAGTGTTTCCTATCATTTACCGAGAATCAAATTTTTGTCGGCGTTTGACGGTCGGAAATATCCATTTCTCGGGAAATTCTCGGTAAATTCCGACCAAAATTATTGTCGGTAACATCTATGGGAAAATCGTCGGAACATAC